GCGATGCGTTTGTGTAAGAAAAATATCCATATTTACAACTTTATAAACCTTAATCTCTAGCTTCCGCTAACTGTCATACACGCATTCACAGGAGAGTGGCATCCAGCGGATGACTTAGCACGTAGGAAAACACAGTGATGAACACGGAAGTGATGACCGTGGAAGCGCAGAGGAGAGAGCAAAACAAAACACCGGTCACAAATCAATAGTACAAAACGAGGATTTGTAAAGAAAAATGTCGGAGGATTGCAATATAAGCCAAGAGGACACTGGTTTTCCTTTGCTGTAAACAAAACTTGTTTCTCGCGAGACTAGCATATTCTCACCAGAGTTTACGCTACGCCTATGTCATCTGCTGGACGCCACTCTCTCGTGAACACGCGAACGACAGTTAGCGGAAGTTAGAGATTAAGGTTTATAAAGTTGTAAATATGGATAGTTTTCTTACACAAACGCATCGCTTCACTTCGGGAGGCCTTTATTAACCCCCCGGAGCCGTGTGGACTTCTTTTATAATGGATTGGTTCAATTCTTTGGACTTCAAATTTTGGGCTACCATCCACTCCCATTATAAAGCTTGGAAGAGCCAGGATGTTTTTTAATATAACTCCGATTGTATTCGTCTGAAAGAAGAAAGTCATATACATCTAGGATGGCTTGAGGGTAAGTAAATCATGGGGTAATTTTCATTTTTGGGTGAACAAACCCTTTAAGGCAACGCCCACGCATTCATTCATCTATTTTAATAATGCTCATACGAAAATTAACCATGGTATGTATAGTAAAACTGTGGCAATACAAATGGAAATCAGTACGCGGAAAAAAAACTATTTTTTTTACTATATTTACTATAGTAAAACCATGGTAAATTTTTGTAAGGGTGTCAAATTCATTTAAAAAAAGTAAACAGGTGTGAAATATGATCAGTAAGAGAAAAACATTGTTAATGAGAAGACGAACTTGACTGCAGCAGGTTAGTTGGGAAATAAATGTATTTATTCAGAATGCACATTTGGAAGGTAAATATTTTAATAGGAACATTTCAGCAGGTGATATGAGATGTAGTCCTAAACATCCTCAGTTTCGAAATGCATACTCCATGCGAACGTGCTCCCGCATAATATTTTAGAAGAACCTTAATTCATCCCATCCCATCGCATCTCATCCGTGTTGTGTCAGGAAATCGTGAAAACTGAGGCAGTGTGTCGTTGTTTAGAATAAAAGCAGCCAGGTACGCTGCAGTAACACCGGCGAAATAAAGGAAAGAGAAGATTTGCCCATTAGTTTTGACTGCGTTGCGATGGGACTGGAAGTGGCGATACACTGCTTCACTTACAGGATATAGGAAGTGTGATAAAGGTCCATTGCCAACTTGTTTTCATTGAGGACAAAACATAAACCTAACTAGATTTTGTTAGATTTATGCATGAAATAGAAAAAGCAATTTGCCCGTTTGTAAAAAATAAAACAACTTTTAATCCTTTATGCAATTTTAGTAAATTAGATTATTTTAAGCTGTTTATATATTTTACTGGAAGAAAAAACTGATACTGATTAAGAAAATGAGTTTTTGAAACACAGTGCAATCAATTTCATGAAACAGCAGGAATTAATGCACCCTTTGTTTGGTTCTTATGAATACTTGTGCCTTGTTTTTGAAGTTCAGACAAACAAACTAGAGTACTCTCTTTTGTTAGAGCACCAGCCCACTACAACATGTCTTTCTTTGTTCTTTCTAATGAATTAGAGATGTGTCACTTTTTCCTCATTCACAATACAAAAGAACAAACTTTGGCAGGCCTAACTCAGATCAGATTTTTTTACATGCAATTTAGCTGTCATCATCATCTCTTTTTTATGAGTGTTCTGAATCTAGCCAAAGACAGATGTTTTGCAGCAGGTGTTTGTGAGCCCAAATCTCTGGCTTTTTTTATTTAGCAGATGCACCAAAACAGGTTTTAGGTCAGTTGTTCGAACACCTGTGGCCTAACTACTGGCCTCCTACTACTACTACTACTACTACTGGCAAGCATGACAGGTCTCAGATCAGAGATCCAGAACACTGAATACTGATGAGTGTGGATCCATGGGGCTATGAAGCATGTCAGAGTGTTACAGTGTGATCTGGCACCGCAATACAGCAAGTCGACAGCGCGCCAAAGAACTAACTGCTTCTTTCACAAACCACCACAATAATATACTGACAGGGCAAGTTACATTCATTGAGAAGAAATGGCAGGGAAGGTGGGTGGCAGAAAAGCGAACAGGAAGGACAGAGCACATGAATAGAGTTTAATAAATTCTCCAGGCATGCTGGTGGGACAGACAATTTAGTGTGTTTGCACTGGAATTTAATTTTAGAAGATGGATAGATTAAAATATTAAATCAAGACTACATGTGTACAGTACAATTGTTCTTTGCCCGTCAAGTGTGTGTGCATAGTTTCAGCAACAGCACACGTGAACATGCGTGCCACACAATAATACACATAGAGAGATGTTAAAGTGGGAAAAGCAATTAAGTTTAAGTTAGATGGAAAGATTGGAGAGAGTCCCAAAGATCTGTTCCAGCTCAATCAAGCAGTCCGAAAACAAGCATATGGGTGATGAAAGCTCTTATCAGTGCATTAGAGCCCAGTGTGTTTGTGGGTGTGTTAATGTAATAGATTTTGCTGTTTTAGCAGTTTGTTGGAGGAGTCTATCTGCCTCTCTGATATTTACACACTGTTACAGTGTTGAGAAATTGACTCTGTTGGTTCTTATTAATGTACCAGCGTCTCTCAACTTGCCTGTCAGAGGAAGTACAAGTTCAATACGTCAGACATACACTATACTGTTCAAAAGTCGGGAGTTTGTAGGATTTTAAAAAATGTTTTTGAAAGTCTCTTATCTAATGTAATTTCAATTTAAAATAACCATTTTTATTTTAATATATTTTAAAATGTAAATCATTCATGTGATGGCAAAGCTGAATTTTCAGCAGCTATTACTCCAGTCTTCTGTGTCACATAATCAGTCTAATATTCTGATTCTCAAGAAAAAATTTCTTATTATTTTCAATGTTCAAAAATGTTGTGCTGCTTTAAATTAGCCGATATAAGATAAATTGTTCTTGGAAGAATCTGATGACAAATGTTCAAGAAATGTGAAAATGCAAAGAAAAATCTCCTTTCCATTTAATGAGATGGTCCTCACTGCAGAACACAAGATCCAGGGGGCGTGGTTGGATCTAGATCCAACTCCTCCCACCTTACATATACCTAAACCTACCCGTCTCCACCCCCTGATCCCTAAATCCACCCATCTCCACCCCTAAACCTACCCTTCAGGGAACGAGGGTTACCATACGTAACCGAGACGTTCTGCAGTTAGGGGCTACTGCATTTAATCTCATTGCTTTAAGGGGAAAAGTTGAGATATTAAAGGAAACTTCAAATAAAAAATTAAAACCTTTATGTTTAGTGACCTTCATGTTGTTCCGAACCATATTATTTTCTTACTTCAATACTGATATGACAACTAGCAACTTTCAAGCCTCAAAAAGGACAAAAGTTGCAAAAAAAAAAGCAGTCTAGATTTCTAGTGAATTTTTCTAGTGAATGACAAATTAAATTTCAATATGTTCCTCACACAAGGCTATTTCACAACTTCAGAACATTTAGAATATACTGCACAATGAATTTCATAGACTACTTTTATGATACGTTTGTATCCTTATATTGAAACCTGAAAGCCTCAGTCACATTCTTTTTGTAATTACATCGAAAAGAGCAGTTGTTTTGTCAAAATACACATATGTAATGTGCTTTACTGTACCTGAACATGAGCTAGAAAAGGAGACAGCAGTTTTTCTGTTGTTGTCAAGCAGTAATTTTGTCAAATTGAGTCACAGTATATTTTTTATTCTCTTTCTCTTTTCTTCTTGTCAGTCTTTGCCTGTTTGCCACATATTTTATTGAAGCATTCAGCTTTTTCCCACTGAGAAATGATTCTGTTTTCTTTGACTGATCTAGACAGAAAGTGAATGGATGAATATATATGAAGTCGTTTCCTCGCAACACTTGAATACTTGAATTTACTTGAATTTGATATGAGCCCTAATAAAATGTCATGTGTAGAACTCAAACTGGCAGTATTAGATGATAAACGACAGAGAGGTTTATTAATACACCATTAAAAGATTCATAATTTGGTTTGTACTGTATTGACTGCAACTCTTTGTAGCCTTAAACTCTGTGTGTGTGTGTGTGTGAACAGGTGCTGCCCCGTCAGACATGTGGTTTATTCACACATACCATCTTCTATAAAGAGTATCCGGGAGGCCCTAAAGAACTGGACAAAAGCATACGAGGAGGAGAGCTGTTTCTGACCGTCCTTCTCAACCCTGTGAGTGTAAAACACACACACACACCGCTACTCCCTGTCGTCTCTGCTCATTTCATTCTATCAGCCTGTTGTATTGTTTTTCTCTGTCTTATTCTGTCCTCATGCCCCCTTCTCTCTCTCCCTCTCTGGGTTTCCATGTTAGTGTTGCTTATAGATTTGTTCTCCCAGCATGAATCACTGTTCTTATGTTGAAACTCTGCTCTGCTTGAATCAGCAGCGAAATTAAAAACAAGAGCGTGTGTGTACAGTCATGTATGTGCGCTGTGTGTTTCTACGTTAATTCAGTGCTTCTCAACTAGTGGGTTGCGACCCAAAATTGAGTCACAGGTCTATCCTGATAGGATCATGGACTGCAGGAAAAAATGATAATGCATCTAACCATATAACAATACATAGTTTGGATAGAAAAAAAGAGGTTATTACATTTTAAAAGGGAAATAATGCTTCCCACGTATTTTGTTGTGCATGTCAAAGGTCATGCATCCAATTTTGGCCCAAATCCGCTTGGTTTATGTTTGTTTTGTTTTGTTTTGTTTTGTTTTGTTTTGTTTTGTTTTGTTTTGTTTTGTTGCCACAAAATAAAAAAATTCAAAGTCAATTGTGAGTTTTTATCTCATAATTATGTACATATATCTTGCGATTCTGAGTTTATATCTCTCTCTCTCTCTCTCTCTCTCTCTCTCTCTTTTTGTTTTGTTTTGTTTTGTTTTGTTTTGTTTTGTTTTGTTTTGTTTTGTTTTGTTTTGTTTTGTTTTGTTTTGTTTTGTTGCTGTGCTGTGCTGTGCTGTGCTGTGCTGTGCTGTTCTATTACAAATCATTATTGGTAAGTGAAATAAAAAATAAATGACAAACTTAAACAAAAATTTGAAATGTTGCATTGTTAACTAACTGAAATAAGCTGAAGTACTAAAATTACTAAAATTAAAACTGAAAAAGCTAGATAGAAATATTAAAAAGTGTATATAGCAAAATTACTAAAACTTAAAATTAAAATGAAAACGTAAAAAATAAATATACAACTTAAAAAAAATCAATACATACTATAATCATTTATAAATACTACTAAAATAACACTGATTGTCTAATGTAAAATCCTGAAGAACCATTGTTTAGCATTAATGGATACTGTAAATGGGTTGACGAATAGATCGAGTACTGTATGTATTGTGAACTTCTTGCACTAACATCCTGTGCAGTCTTTGTGTATAAGGTATGAAAATGTAATGTTTAAGAGTCAGTGTGTTTGTTTGTGTGACGAAAGCATCACAGTGAATCTTCTCCTTTGGCTAAAGGCCATTAGTAAGGGTTGACTCCTTCCCATGGTACAGCACTGACCTGAAAAACAAGCTGAATGTAATCAGAGATTGTGTGTGTTCTCATGTTCGCACAGATCCTGATCATCTGCTTATACCAGCAATAATAAACAACCCACAGAGAGAGGGGGTGAAATGAACATAAGGAGATATGGAGGTGTGAAGATGTAGTATATTGTAGTCAGTGAGTGTGGAATGAGATTGTTCACTTCACACTTACCTTGCCAAAGCCAACAGTGTGTTAATAGTGTGTTAAGTGTTTGTGGTTGTCTGAATAAAAGAGGAATCGATGAGAAAAAGATATTGAGAATAATTTTTCTTCTTCATAGTGTGGAACAGTATACTGTATTTAATTGTATTTTTATTTATATTTTCTATTAATTATATTTATATATTAGATTATTTAATATTTAATTTAATTATTATTTGACTGTGGGAGTGTGATATTGGTTTTGAAAAAGGAAAAAATTTCCACCATGCCTCGTGCTCTCTTTGTCTTTCTGTCCAGAGGGCTTTAAGGGAAACTCATTTATCTGCCCATTCATTATTGAGGTCCTCTCCCTGAGACGAGGTGTGTGTGTGTGTGTGTGTGTGTGTGGTGTGTAGTATGTGTTTGAGAGCATGAGGTTAACAGAGCATAAGATCAGTTACAGAGGGGAGAACACTGTGTTTTTGACACTCCATTTTACCCTCATTTATGCCCTTCCCAGAAAACAGGACAGTATGCATGGGGCGTTTGTTACAGGAATATTTTACACAAAAATGAACATTCTGCCATTACTTGCTCACCATTATGTTGTACCAAACTCGTATCCTGTTTTTTTTTCTGTTGAACCCAATGAGAAATTAACAGACCTAAATTTATCTCATTATATACACACACTTATGTCATATTATATTCCCCTTAGCCATAGCTAAGGGAATATATTTATATAT